ATGCACCTCTCCCCCCTCCCATAATGCACCTCTCCCCCCTCCCATGATGCACCTCTCCTTAGCGTGTTACATACGTGTCCTGGTTGGTGTCGCACACGTCTCCCACCAGGTCGTTGTCCACGTCCGTCTGCAGGAGAACAAACTCACACGCTTTAGCTTTTTTTACTCTGATTTTAACGTAAAAAAACGCTCGTTTTGCCTTGATTTGGTGTCTTTTTGTGTCACTTTACAGCTAAACGACGCTTTATCAACAAAGACAAACAAACACGCAGAAATCAACATATCTGAGCAGAAAAAGTGGATTTTTACTGAAAAACCACTTTTATGACTTGGATGCAAACAGAAACACAGCAGAACCTCGTCTTAAAATTGCCTAAACATACGAATTTTCCAACAAGCGAAGTGAAATTTGATCAAATATTCGACTCAACACCCAAAGGAAACATTCGAAGTCATAGAAAAATATATATTAAATATAAAAATTTAATAAAAATAAATAAGCTTGGTTGGTTTATGATGTCGAAGTCATAGAAAAATATATATTAAATATTTTAAAAAATTTAAATAAATAAGCTAAGTTGGTTTATGATGTCAAATTCATAGAAAAATATATTATAAATATTTTAAAAAATCGTAATAACTAGTGTAAGTGTGTGTAGGTATCGTGTGTAAAGTCAGAGTGAGTTAGGGCTGGTCCTGTATCTCAGTCTCCACCTCTACCTCCGTTCTTCAGTCTCTGAGCTAAAGGGACAATAAAAACCCTTTTTACTCATTATTTCTGCATCATTTATTTCTTTCTCCATCTCTCTTCTAGAAGTCATTTGTTTTCTTGCTATGTGTTATTATCTTCAGTATTTATTAAGGAGTTATCGTAGGTTTTTGGAACCAATTCTAGGAATTACAGAGTATTCTGATGGAGGATTTGAACCAACAAACCAATATTTAACACAGAAGTCGCTCCTGGAACCAGTTACACTGTTATAGAGGTTCTGCTGGATTTAATATTATTTAATTTTCTTATTTGAATAATTAGATTATTATATTTTAATAACTTCACTTACCTTTATTTATCTTGTTGCATTGTAAATAACCTTTATTCATTTAAGCCACCACTGTTCTTTTTCCCTTTTTTCTGCTGTAATGTGTAAATTTCCCCACTTAGGGACCAATAAATCATTCTATTCTATTCTATGTTGGTAGGTTTTTGGAACCAATTCTAGGAATTCCAGTGTATCCTGAGTGGGATATCTGAACATACGTTAATATTTACCTGCATGGGGTTCTGATGGGATATCTGAACACACATTAATATTTTAATATTTACCTGTATGGGGTTCTGATGGGATATCGTACATTAATATTTTAATATTTACCTGTATGGGGTTCTGATGGATATCTGAACCCGTACATTAATATTTTAATATTTACCTGCATGGGGTTCTGATGGATATCTGAACCCGTACATTAATATTTTAATATTTACCTGCATGGGGTTCTGATGGATATCTGAACCCGTACATTAATATTTGACATTAATATTTGACATTAATATTTTAATATTTACCTGCATGGGGTTCTGATGGGATATCTGAACCCGTAAATTAATATTTTAATATTTACCTGCATGGGGTTCTGATGGATATCTGAACCCGTACATTAATATTTGACATT